TTTGTTTTTTTTTTTTTTTGGTAAGGAGTAGTGTAATAAATGGAATAATGTAGTTAACTGAATAAAATAATACATTTGAAAAATGGGTGTATTTTCCAATAATGACCAGCTAAATGTAAGTCCTTACATAGTGTATAATGTAACATAGAAATAATGTAATTGCTAAAACAGTCGTAAAATCTCATTCAATTAGACATGGTTATCAAAATACTTCACAATGGCAACACTGGAATTTTTAATTTTTTTTTTTAATTTTTTTTTTAAAGAAATGAATACTATTATTCTACAAGGATGAATCAAGTTGATCAAGAGTGACAGTAGACATTAATATTCTTATTTAAAAAAATTTTTATTTCACATAAAGGTTGTCCTTTTAAATGCTCTATTGATCAAAGAATCCACAAAATGTTTGTGTGATTATAATAACCTCAAATCAAATGAGTGAGGTTTTATCATTCAGATAATGTTAAACTTGCTGGCTTTTCATGAAATTTTCAACAGTAGTGCTCTAGTAGTGATGGTCTGTTCCATATTTTTTTGTAAGTGCGCATGTGATTGTGTGTGTGTGTGTGTGTGTGTGTGTGTGAGTGAATAACGGGTACTTGCTATGCCAGAAGTCATTAGTGCAGTCATTACACTGTCAGTGAAATGTGCTCTCAGGGGCCAGACCTTTAGAGCACGCGGCATCATTACCATTAGTAAATACAGTGCATTAGTGGGTGACCTTCAGTATAATGCTGAAAATGCTGCAATTTATTCTGGTCTTTTGTGTGTGTGTGTGTGTGTGTGTGAGAGAGAAAAAGTTTGTTTTTCAAAACAAAAAACAAAACTAAATTTGTTTGCCACAATGCTCAAAGATGCTAAAAAAAATCAGCTTTCATGCTGAATGTGTATTTTTACCCCATTTCCCCCTTTTCAACAAGCTGCTTGGTCCAAATTCATATTAAGCACACAGTAGGGGTTCAATCAAACTGTTAATCCCTCCTTATAGGAAGAAAGAAAGGAGAACTGTTAGTTTCAAACGAAGAAAAGCCAAGCGAGAGGAGAAAAAGCGACAGATGAACACACAGATACAGAGCATCCCACAGGCCCAATGCCGCAAACCACCCGCTCACACTTGAGTTACTCACATATTCCGTGGACTCTTCAATTTTCCACTGATGGAAAACATGACAGATGAGAGGTAGAAAATGAATCAGAGATGGCACTACTGGGGAGAAAAAAAAGCATCGCTACCTTTTTTTTCTCTCATCTACAGATGAACACCTAGCGTTAACAGTGACATGCTATAGAGACAGAGGGGAAGGGTGGAGTAGGAGAGATGACAATATTTCACATTCAACACAGTGCTGAATAATGTCAGGTAAAAGGAGCAGCGGTATACTGCTAACAAATGCAAGGTGCTTCATTCCATCACTCTGTGGGAGAAAGAAATGACAACTATTGCACCACTTACACCTGGTGCAAGAACGTTTTAGTCTCAGCATGGTTGTAAACATTGCAATGCACAAATACTTACCTGGGCTGCATTCATAATAAACCTGATAAGTGAACTCCAAAAGACATACATAAATATTGTACAATGCAAAACATTTATCACAAATGCACTGCCTGGTTACGTGTATATCATTTAAGAAAATTTGTAACAGTTTTATGAAAGGATGCACAAAATATCGGTACCATATCAGTTATTGGCTGGTACTATTTAATTTCTCAGTATGGACTGATATTGTATATTCAATTATGCTGCTCATTGAATCTATTCTTCATCTATTTTCGCATTATAATTATTGTATTACATTATATATTGCATTATAATGTTGTGATGCCTAAATTCACATTTAAAACGAGTTTTAATTTGTAATTGTTTTTCATTTATTTAGACAAATTAGGATTGAGATTTGATATTTTGCAAGTTCTTGGCCATAACACAAAAATGATCTTATCAATATTGACCAGATTTTTAATATTGTGCATGGCTAATTTCACCACATTGACACATTTGCACAAAAACAAACTATTACATTTACAGATTTTTTTTGTTGCCCCTGCTGGTGGACACTGGTATCACTGGCATTGTGCTGTCGGTGTATTCTGACAGGACAACCAACATTTCTAAAACATTTTTAATTTAAATACAACATTTATATATAAAAACCATTTTTTGTAACTGTAAGTGAAACTCATTGGGATTGAAAGCCTATCTCTTGGTGCGAATCTCCTGGTGGTGTAGAGCATGAAATCCCATTACCCCCATCGCATTGCCAGCTTGGTGACATCAAACTTTACTGACACTGAGCACCCAGAACCACTGCTTTTTTTTTACCCACCCTCAACAAAAGGCGCTCACATATGCATCAAATCTTCCCTGGACCGAGAATCCAGCATGGAGCAACCGGAGTTGATATTCCTTTTCGGGAAGAAAGAGGAAATTGCTCTTTTCTAACCGAGAATCTGCAAAGTGCAGTGAAGCACGTCACAATGTCAGTCTGTGGACCCCCACACTGTAATTTTCTATATTAGATCATTCTGCAAACATTCATCCATATCCTATAATTGCTTATCATGATGGAGTTGATGTAGATCTGTGTGTATATTGCATAACAGTACCATTAGCAGACTAGATGGATGCCAATATTTCAGTCTGTTTCCCTAACACACTGCTTCCCACACACAGACCTCATGCGGCCGATCCTATAGGATAATGCCTGGCATGTGTGGTGCTTTGTTAGCCTGTCGGCTACTCAGAGGTGGGAGCCTCATGGACGGTTTTAAAAGCCCCTGACAGCACAAGAGAAACCAGCAGCTTTGCCCAGAGCATGCCCTCCTAAAAGTCCAGTAACAATGATTTTATCCAGGGCACGGCTGCCTGGAGGCCCAACCGCCCGTCATTACCTTTCACGGCGAGGAGCTGAAGACATGCTGATAAGTTGAGTGGAAAGCGTAGAGGCTGAAACATTGATCAGATATAATGGGCCGGAGAGCGCTTCTAACCCTTCAGGCCTGCACTTAAGAGTTGTACTTCAATCATTTAGTCATCGCTGTTTCACTGCGTTCACTTCCTTCTCAAATGGACTACTCCTAAACCGCTGCTTTTAACTGTCCTATTAATCGTGCACATTACTGCAGTGTGGACACGAACAAGGACTTAGCACATACACAACCGGCATCCAAAGCCAGCACCGTTCTTTTAGGCCGATCTACACTCAATCTTCAACAGAACCCACAGCAGCACCGACACAAGAAACATGCAGTTAAATAAACACAAACAATCTCTTGAAACTCAAGTTAATGAGACATTTTTTCTGCTTATCTGCTTTCTTAATGGGTTGTTGTTTTCCATGTGGCACTTTAGCCCCGGTTAAACATACCGGCCTTTGCTTTCACAAAATTATCTCCTCAGAATCATTCTCTTTGAATACAAGATGAATGAATCAGCCTAGTTTATTAAAAGGCTTCAGAGAGCAGAAAAAAAGGTCAGAACTGATAGGAATCTTCAGCTGGAGCCAAATGCTGCAATTTTCAGACAGGATATTAAAATAGTAATTTATGTCTGTGTTTGTCAGATAGAGGCTGATGGAGAACAAGAGATGAAAGGGAAAGATGGTGCTGATATTAATCAGGGGAAATAAAGGGCTCTCCTCTCTCTCCTTCATCTGGCACTGGGGCCACCGAGGTGCTGTTTCACAACCCCAATTAAAAACACCTGAACCAACTAATCAAGGTCTTTAGGCATACTAGAATCTTCCAGGCAAGTTGGAGCTGAACTAGGACACTGGCCCTCAAAAAGCAGCTTTAGATACCCCTGATCTACTGGCAGGATGGTCGTAGTTTATGTATTCAATGTAACTGGTTTCGAACCTTCTATGTTTTTGGTACCAGCTCTTGTCCTTGACTACTAAAAGCCGCACCACCCACAGCTTGATCTCTCACTACGTCTGTCATTTGCTCGTTCCCTCTTCCATCCTACACCCACAACTAATGCAACAAGATCCTAACCAAACAGCACAGAAGAGTGACAGCTGTAATTGGAGGGGACTCTCATGCAGATTTATTGGAGATTCTTCATGGAAAGGTTGACAGGCTTCTCCAACGGCCACTTGCTCGGCTCTCGTGGCACACTGAAATGGATCAATTAACTCAATCTCTCAGTTAAATTTAGACTCAGAATGAGAGTGGTGTGTGGGTTCCCAGTCTGGCCTTTTTTGAAAAGAAAATGTGTTTATCCCACCCACGGACAAACAAGTGCTCGCTGGTTTCCTGGCTTTCAGCTGAGACCAGGGAGCCAGATGTGAGAGAGACTTCTCATGTTGCTCTGAGTGAGACAAATGGTGGGTTCAAATTGTGACACCGTCTCATTACACACTTACATTTAAAGTGAAATCAATATTATAAGTATTTACTGTTTTTAAAGGGGTCATATGATGTTGCTAAAAAGAACATTATTTTGTGTATTTGGTGTAATGAAATGTGTTTATGCGGTTTAAGGTTAAAAAAAAACATTATTTTCCACATACTGTACATTATTGATTCTCCTCTATGCCCCGCCTTTCTGAAACGCGTCAATTTTTACAAAGCTCATTGTTCTGAAAAGCGAGGTGTGCTTAAATCTGCAAAAATGTCAACAATTCTGTGTTTTTCTGTCAATATGGGGTGCTGTGTGTACATTAATGAGGAAAAAAAATTAACTTAAATGATTTTAGCAAATGGCTGCAATATAACAAAGAGTGAAAAATTTAAGGGGGTCTGAATACTTTCCGTACCCACTGTATGACCCCTTTAATACATGCTCTAATTGTGCATGGTATATCAGTGCACACTACCTTTAATGAAAATGTTGGCTATTATTAAATGCTAATCAACAGCCAAACATTTTAGGGTTCTTTTGTAGGTAATGCAGCCTTAATAAAAACTTGCCTTTATAAAACCATGTAGACTGAATTTATCCATTGCATTTTTTTTTTCTTTTTTTGACCTTGTAGTTTTTAATCAAAATATCATAACTCGATCTTCCGGTGAAACAACTTCTCTCTGGTGACGTTTGCCGGACTTCGCCAATCATTTAGTCCACTTATACCCCTCTTAACAATCGACTGCAAGCTCGCATTTAGATTGCATTGCCTCCATCCATTCAACAACCAATGGGTAGAACCAAGTCCCCGCCCTAGATCTAATTCTTTTCAATAATTTTTTCACTTGGTTGTACGTCACAATATGCGAGAACCTCCAATTTTTTTGTGAGTTTAAGAGTTATAGTTAACAGCAATAGTTTATGTAATAAAATTAAATGGCAACAACAAAAAATATGATAATTAAAAAAACTGTTACTGTTGGGATACTTGAGGGAGACGCATGATTATCCTCAAAAATAAAATGAAAACAAGTGAAATGAATGAATGAAAACAAATGAAACAAGACAAATGAGCGTTGTCATTGTGTAGGTAGCTAGTCAGTTTGTAACTCATGTGTTAATGTTAATTTGTAGCTTAGCAATTGGGGTTTGGATCGGTTCAGTAATGCATACTAAGAGCAAATAAAAAACATTACAGATGCTTCTGCTCTCCTCAGAGATGTTTTAGGAGCCCATCCATGCAGAAGCTCATGCTCTTAGAGCCAGAGTGTCTCTGAAGGTGGTAGAGAAACATCACATATTAAAAATGAACAACTGGCAACCCCCAGAAGAACAAAAATGGATGTCTTGAGAAATCTGGATCTTTTTGTCAAGACAAAAAGCACTACAAGCCATTTATCAAAGTAACTCTGCAACCACCCTGCCAAACCATTAGTGTTACACAATACACAATGGATTTTCATCACTTCTCCGACATCTCTCTTCTTCACTAGCTCTCCCTGGCCAATTACATCCCAGAGAGCAAAGCAACAACACATTCTATTTTTTTTTCTGAGTAAGAGCGAAAGAATGAAGAAAGATGTAGACATAAACGTAACCAGAGTCTTACGATACATCTTCAATGTCTGAGAGAAAATTGAGACAAAAGGTGAAAATAAACAGGCCTGTATGGATCATTGTGTCTCAGCAAGTCTTTTCATGCTTTTTTTTTCTATGACAATGACAGCGAATGAGTCACGTCCTGGGACAAACCTTCGCAGTTCGTGGTAATTGACTCAACAACGCTTCAGATGTCATGGCGTATGAAGGGAATGTTGTTTGCCAAAAAGGGAGAGGCAAGGGCAGGTGCCCTTGGGTTGTGAGAGCAAAGAGGTCAACAGCAGTTCACCTGACAGATACTGTAAACAAAACCTGTCTATTGTTTTTTTTATTTGTTACCGATGGAAAAGTAGATGAAAAAAACTCACAACAAATGTGTCTCGTATGCTGTCAAAAACATTTAGAACCGCTGACCTTGTGACATTAAACAAAGTTTACAAGTTATGACTTGTGGAGGTGTTATGGACTAGAGGCACTGAACAGACAAAACATCAACTGCACCAAAAATCCAGAGTGGCGAAGGTCACAAAGACCACTTTAAGCTCTGAGCAAGGGATTTCATAGAATATATCATTTAGAGATGCACTGATATACGCCCCTGAACACGCCCCTTACCATGCATCATCATCGTATGTAATCAAGGAGGTGCCATCGGAACAACTCATGTCTGTCCATCAATCAAAAGAGTGATAGCAATAACCAATATGGTACCAACATATGCATCCCTAATAAAATTAGCTGGAATCAATTAATGGCAGAAAATAAAACTTGCCAGTTCTAGGAGGTGGATTGAGCGCTGACACGTAAGGTAATACATTTGTATTTTACATGCACTCCTTCACTTGGGTATGTACTTATGCAAATGAGAAATAATCTTCTCGATGCACGAGAAAACCCCCGTTATCTGCTCATTTACTAAAAACCATTAAAGCCCACAGTGGTCCATAAACGTCTCTTGTTACAGTCTTTTTTATTTTTCTAGCTCAGTGAGAGGAAATGCTTACACATGTAAATGAGAAACTCTTGTTTGGGGGCAGGGAAAGTGCAGCAAAACACATGTCTACACAAGTTAATTCTCAGCTAACAATTCAAGAGGAGAAGCATTTAAATGCCCCCCAATCAAATTCTCTCTATTTCCGAAAAGTGTCTACTTTAAGAAATTCATGGATATCTAAATCCCTCCTAAGGATTACTATCTTTATTCCATCTCAGTGCACCCATGTTTCTTCAGGCAGTTTTAAAGCTCCTTATATTAATGCATCATGAGCGAAATGGGAAAAAAATAAATTAAAAAAAGTAACAAGGCAGTGCATATGTATTAATGTTAGGATTTACAAAGAGCTGAATTCTTGAAAGGCCACCAACATTGTGTGCCTATGAAATATTTAACAATTTAGATAACATTGAAGACTCAGAAAAAGTGTTTATGTAGACGTGTAGATATGTATCCTGCAAATTCATTAAACAGACAAAGATTTAGTTCCAAACCCTGATTTGCCTACCAAGATAGCATTTTTAGCAACTCAAAAGCTTTTTAAAATAGACAGTCAATTATGCTCCCAAAAACAAAGCAGTGTATAAAAAAAGTATTTAAAAATTAGTTTTTAGTAATTTAAAAACAGCTGAAATAAAATATAATATTATAGAATTTTTTTTTTTTTTTTTTTTTTTGGAAAAATTGCCTTGGCAGCTAACTGAAATAAAATAAAATAAATTTAATTTGAAGAACTAAATTTACAACTAAAACTGAAATAAAAATTAATTACAGCTATATATATATATATCTATATATACAGTGGTGTGAAAAAGTTTTTGCCCCCTTCCTGTTTTTTTTAATTGTTTGCATATTTGTCACACTTAAAAGATTCAGATCATCAAACAAATGTTAATATTACACAAAGATAACCTGAGTAAATAAAAACTGCAGTTTTGAAATTATGATTTCATTTATTAAGGGAAAAAAGCTGTCCAAACCTGCCTGGCACTACGTGAAAAAGTAATTGCCCCCTAAATCTAATAACAGGTTGTGCCACCCTTTGCAGCAACAACAGCAATCAAGTGTTTGCGATAAATGGCAATGAGTCTTTCACAGGAATTTTGGCCCACTCTTCTTTGCAGAATTGTTTTCATTCAGCCACATCGGAGGGTTTTTGAGCATGAATGGACTGTTTAAGGCCATGCCACAGCATCTCAATCGGATTTAAGTCTGGACTTTGACTTGGCCACTCCAAAACCGTAATTTTGTTTTTCTTGAGCCATTCAAAGGTGGACTTGCTGGTGTGTTTTGGATCATTGTCCTGCTGCATAAACCAAGTGCGCTTGAGCTTGAGGTCACAAACTGACGGCCGGACATTCTCCTTCAGGATTTTCTGATAGAGAGCAGAATTCATGGTTCCATCAATTATGGCAAGTCATCCAGGTCCTGAAGCTGCAAAGCAGCCCCAGACCATCACACTACCACCACCATGCTTGACTGTTGCTGTGATGTTCTTTTTATGAAATGCTGTGTTGGTTTTACGCCAGATGTAACGGGACACACACCTTCCAAAAAGTTCAACTTTTGTCTCATCAGTCCACAGAATATTTGCCCAAAAGTCTTGGGGATAAACAAGATATTTTTTGGCAAATGTGAGACAAGCCTTTGTGTTCTTTTTGGTCAGCAATGGCTTTTGCCTTGGAACTCTCCCATGGATGCCGTTTTTGCCCAGTCTCTTTCTTATTGTTGAATCATGAACACTGACCTTAATTGAGGCAAGTGAGGCCTGCAGTTCTTTAGATATTGTTCTGGGTATTTTTATGACCTCCTGGATGAGTCGTCGTTGCGCTCTTGGAGTAATTTTGGTAGGCCGGCCACTCCTGGGAAGGTTCACCACTGTTCCAAGCTTTCTCCATTTGTGGATAATGGCTCTGACCGTGGTTCGCTGGAGTCCCAAAGCCTTAGAAATGGCTTCATAACCCTTTCCAGGCTGATACATGTCAACTATTTTGTTTCTCATCTGTTCTTGAATATATGCTAATGAAATCTAATGAAAATGACAAAAGACACATAAAAGACAAACTAAAATTTTACATTAAAATGAAAAACATAATAAAACAAAATCTAATTCATAACATTAATAAATACAATAATAGAATGTAAATAATACTAAAACAACAACAAAACCAAGGCAGGATGTACTATGACAAACAGTGTGGAGTCATGAAATTTTTTTTTATTTTTTTAAATAAATTATTTTATATATCTTTTTGAAATTATTTAAATGAATTAAGCAAAAATACTTCACCCAATATTTGTGTGTTATACCTAATATTGTATATTATAGACATGCTTACTTTCTTACTGCATCGGATTAATAGTTTAGCAACATGCTAACACCAAACTCCATTCTAATCAGCTGTGAGGTTTAGTCGAGTCTCTTGAGTGCTTTATATGAGGAGCACTATGCTTGTGGGACCCATGTAAAGCTTTTCAATAAGTCAATTAAGAGGTCCGATTTTGGTTAGGATGCTGCCTCAGAAGGTAAGTTGCCTATTTAAGACAGCGAGGAAGCTCACTAGGGTTTGGAACTGAGCCCAGCTGAGCCATAACAATGGCATCCAGCTCACCGTACAAACAGTCAAGTGCTACAATAAAGAATTAGCAGGTAGTACCTGTGCTTCTGGCAGAGCGACATCCATTATATTTGGTTGGCTACGTGGCTCTCCGTTCTCCAGGCGGGAGTATATGACCTGGTATCCCCGGATCTGGCCGTGCTGCTTCCCAGAAAGAGGTGGCTTCCATGTCACACGAATAGCTGTGGAGTTCACAGCCTCTACTTCGACTTTCCGAGGTGGAGCTCCAGGCACTAAAAGGGAGCAATTAGATTTCAACTTCAGGATGGAGGCTTTTAGGGTAGCTTGAGATAAAACACCCTAATAAGTGCTAAAGAGTTGCGGTTTGGCTGAGGAGAGGTATTTATTTAACAATATTTGTTGGTTAAAGAACATTTATCATGCTGGGAGAAAAGCTAACGTGGCTTCAGTAAGAAGATTGTTCACAATAATTCAAGGATGCAGAAGACAGTGCAAAAATCTGCTAAAAATAAGAACTGCTAAAAGACTGATGAGGATGTGCTGAAATGCTGCTCAGCTGACATGCTTCAGATCAATGAATTTACTGATTGTGGCCTCATAGGAATATCGTGAAAAAAGCTGACCAGAGGGGGGGAACTCATGACACCATTTCTAGGGAAGCTGATGAGACCAAGGTATAGACAAACAGGCCTGAAGGCGATGTAAGACGTGAGAGGAGAAGAATCAGAGGAATGAAGAATGAGAAAGAATGATTTGAGATATAGAGAGAGAGAAATGGAAAGAGATGAATGAATGAAGAAGCTAGTGGACCAAGATTCACTACTGGTCAAAAGTTTGGAATAATTATGATTTTTTTTTCTGTCTAATGCTCACCAAGGCTGCATTTATTTGATGAAAAATACAGTAATATTGTGAAATATTATTACAATTTAAAACAACTGTTTTCTATTTGCATATATTTAAAATCAGTAACAAAAATCAGTCTAATATGCTGATTTGGTGCTCAAGAAACATTTCTTATTATAATCAATGTTGAAACATTTTTGCTGCTTCATATTTTTGTGGAAACCATTATATATTACCATTCAAAAGCTTGGGGTAAGTGAAATAAATAAATAAATAAATAAATTACAAATATAAATAAGTTACAACAAATTTCTAGTAAAAAAATGCTGACATTTCTATTTATCAAAGAATCCAGAAAATATGTTTCTACAGAAATATTAAGCAATATTACGTTTTCTACATTGACAATAATTCATAACTGAGCACCAATAATAATTTGATACTAATTTATCTGCATATTCAAATGATTTCTGAAGGATCACGTGACACTGAAGACTGGAGTAATGGCTGCTGAAAATTCAGCTACACCATTAACAGGTATTAATTGCATTTTAAAATTTAATAAAATATAAAAGTTATTTTAAATTGTAATAATACTTCATAATATTACTGCAATATTAATGCAGCCTTGGTGAGCCTAAGAAGCTTCTTTAAAAAAAAAAAAAAAAAAATTAATAATAATAATAATTATTATATATATATATATATATATATAAACTTATTATTCCAAACTTTTGACCAGTAGTAATAGTTTAGCAACATGCTAACACCAAACTCCATTCTAATCAGCTGTGAGGTTTAGTCGAGTCTCTTGAGTGCTTTATATGAGGAGCACTATGCTTGTGGGACCCATGTAAAGCTTTTCAATAAGTCAATTAAGAGGTCCGATTTTGGTTAGGATGCTGCCTCAGAAGGTAAGTTGCCTATTTAAGACAGCGAGGAAGCTCACTAGGGTTTGGAACTGAGCCCAGCTGAGCCATAACAATGGCATCCAGCTCACCGTACAAACAGTCAAGTGCTACAATAAAGAATTAGCAGGTAGTACCTGTGCTTCTGGCAGAGCGACATCCATTATATTTGGTTGGCTACGTGGCTCTCCGTTCTCCAGGCGGGAGTATATGACCTGGTATCCCCGGATCTGGCCGTGCTGCTTCCCAGAAAGAGGTGGCTTCCATGTCACACGAATAGCTGTGGAGTTCACAGCCTCTACTTCGACTTTCCGAGGTGGAGCTCCAGGCACTAAAAGGGAGCAATTAGATTTCAACTTCAGGATGGAGGCTTTTAGGGTAGCTTGAGATAAAACACCCTAATAAGTGCTAAAGAGTTGCGGTTTGGCTGAGGAGAGGTATTTATTTAACAATATTTGTTGGTTAAAGAACATTTATCATGCTGGGAGAAAAGCTAACGTGGCTTCAGTAAGAAGATTGTTCACAATAATTCAAGGATGCAGAAGACAGTGCAAAAATCTGCTAAAAATAAGAACTGCTAAAAGACTGATGAGGATGTGCTGAAATGCTGCTCAGCTGACATGCTTCAGATCAATGAATTTACTGATTGTGGCCTCATAGGAATATCGTGAAAAAAGCTGACCAGAGGGGGGGAACTCATGACACCATTTCTAGGGAAGCTGATGAGACCAAGGTATAGACAAACAGGCCTGAAGGCGATGTAAGACGTGAGAGGAGAAGAATCAGAGGAATGAAGAATGAGAAAGAATGATTTGAGATATAGAGAGAGAGAAATGGAAAGAGATGAATGAATGAAGAAGCTAGTGGACCAAGATTCACTACTGGTCAAAAGTTTGGAATAATTATGATTTTTTTTTCTGTCTAATGCTCACCAAGGCTGCATTTATTTGATGAAAAATACAGTAATATTGTGAAATATTATTACAATTTAAAACAACTGTTTTCTATTTGCATATATTTAAAATCAGTAACAAAAATCAGTCTAATATGCTGATTTGGTGCTCAAGAAACATTTCTTATTATAATCAATGTTGAAACATTTTTGCTGCTTCATATTTTTGTGGAAACCATTATATATTACCATTCAAAAGCTTGGGGTAAGTGAAATAAATAAATAAATAAATAAATTACAAATATAAATAAGTTACAACAAATTTCTAGTAAAAAAATGCTGACATTTCTATTTATCAAAGAATCCAGAAAATATGTTTCTACAGAAATATTAAGCAATATTACGTTTTCTACATTGACAATAATTCATAACTGAGCACCAATAATAATTTGATACTAATTTATCTGCATATTCAAATGATTTCTGAAGGATCACGTGACACTGAAGACTGGAGTAATGGCTGCTGAAAATTCAGCTACACCATTAACAGGTGTGGCATGGGAGAAAGGAGGCAGGGTGCTTGTGTATGCTTACAGGACAAGCCATGCATGCGCCGGGGAGCAGAGCAAATCCTGTTATTTAGAGACAAAGCGCATGTTGCTGGTAAAAGACCATGCAGTGAGCACATCCGGTCTTATACTGCTCTCCTATGTTTAATAAGCTTCTCTCCTTAGCCTACACTTCTAGAAAACATATCAAAGCACTCAGGGATTGCCTCAGGTAACACGTGTTACAGCCTGGCTATGAAACTTGTGCAAACACACACACAAAATTGGCTGTAGCACAACTGAGGAAGGACAGAAAGTGAGTAAGAGTGAGTAACTGTGTTGAGGACTGATGTCTGTGACTGCATGTCTAGGTCAGGGGTTTTTGAACTTTTTGAGGTTAATGACCCCAACATATGATAATTCCACTGCAAATGAGTCCTTTCTAAAATATTTTCATGTAGACCCATGTGTCATTTATACTATGTGAGAAAAAGAGTAAGCATGATATAATAATATGTACAACATGTTGTTTAAATGATTTGTTTTTACATTATTACTGAACTTCTAAAATATAAATATTTTGTAGCGACATAAAATGTCTTTGCTCTATTTCGTTTTTTGCTAAATTTGATGCATCATTGCTGTATAAAATCAATGTATTACTGACTCCAAACTGTTGAATGATAGCGTAAAAAAATGTACAATACATTTTTTATTAATATGTTATTTTAAATATTATTAAATATTATTATTATTATTACAAAATATAATTTTGTACAAAACTGTATGCATATTTATCTTGTATTTCTGATTAAAAATACATTTTGTAATGATTGAATCTTCTCAAATTTTCCTCAGACCCCCTTGCAACCCTCTGGGGGTCCCCTAAACCCAAGTCTGAATTTCCTGGAAAGCTGTGTCTGTTGTTTGATTAAAGTATAGGACAATTAGACCATCTTTCAATGATAAGATGACTCTGAGCTTTGGTCCACTGATTTTACGGTGCTTAAAGAGGATGTCTCTGTGATATTGCTCCCACCTCGCTTATATAGTTAGAATTAAAAGGTAATGCTCCATCTACCAAGTTCAGTCAGGAGAAGACACAGCTTTCAGGTCCAGGATCAGTCAAGGTTAGGTGACATGCTGGTTTCTTTAAATGCCTTTATGAGCAAGTTCACTTATATCAGTATGACCTTCTAGCCTTGACATATTTAAAGTATGACTTAAGTACTGATCATACCACACCATTTGATGAGAAAAGTTTGACAAATAAGGAAATTAAGTCACAAACACTTCAGACTGTAGGATCTAAAGTAAATCCTTGCGAAACCAACTCATAGAGGATACTGTTCATTTCCATTTGTATCTTTTCATTCTAGTGGGAGTCTATTTCAGTCATGAATAGGAATAATTGTTAGCCATGCTTAAAAGAAGGTAAATAAAATTGTTAGAAAAAAGGGAAGAGAAAGACAGCAGCCCAATTATTAGCAGTCCACATGGGATAGTTCAGACCTACCGTCCTCGTTGGTACGGACACGCACAGCTGTGCTCTCTGGGCCGGGGCCCACATCGGTGTGTGCTCTCACCCACACCTGATACTCTGTCCACTTCTCCAACGCCTCCAGCACACAGCTGCTGGCATCCACTCCAATGTCCGGTACCTCATGGCGCTCAGTGTCTTCGCCGTTCACTGCCTGGTAGCTGACTGTGTAGCGCACAATAGCGCCGTGGCGACTAGCGGCGGGCGGCGCCACCCAACTCACCTTGATGCTGGTGGAGCTCAGACTGAGCAGGTGCACGTCTTGAGGGGGGGCTGAGGGGGCTGCAGGTGGGGGCAAGGCAATGGGGAGGGCATCAAGCAAAATTAAACAACTTAAAGCAAGCTTGCTTCTGGACTGGACTGGTTGGCACAACAATAGAGAACATCTTACTTAGTGTTGCATTTTTGTCTAATTTCAAATTAGAATTCTAAACTGATTTCATGACTTCGAAGCCATTTAAGTTATAATTTTTTATTTTTTTTTACTTTGCTGTGATTTCAAAAACTGAAAAAATTCAGTACTGCTCGGCACAACCATCTGCAAATGATACTAAGACACAACCAGGGTGTAATACTAACTATTCTGTTCACCACCGTCTGTGGTTGGAATTGTAAAAATACTTTGCTGTGATTTCAAAAACTGAAAAAATTCAGTACTGCTCGGCACAACCATCTGCAAATGATACTAAGACAACAACCAGGGTGTAATACTAACTATTCTGTTCACCACCGTCTGTGGTTGGAATTGTAAAAATTTGACACTCACATGTTTTATTATTTATTTTATTAGTATTAGTATTATTTTCCAAATTAACTATGTATGTGAAACTGGACAAATGCACAAAACATTAAATCCTGACACTTTTTTTTAGCAGTTTTATTTTACAATATAGTCAATTAAATATTGGTTTGGATAAGCTCTAAAGTTGATGTGTTGGGTTATCTTTTTGAAATTACTAAAAATAAATATACAGTATATAGTGCTGCTTGAAAGTTTGTGAACCCTTTAGAATTGTCTATATTTCTGCATAAACATAACCAGATTTGATTATAATCAGATTTTCATGCAAGTCCTGAAAGTTGACAAAGAGAACCCAATGAAACAAATGAGATGAAAATATATACTTTGTCATTTATTTATTCAGGAAAATGATCCAATATTACAAATCTGTGAGAAGCAAAAGTATGTGAATCTCTAGGATTAGCTGTTAATTTGAAGGTGA